ATTCGACGGCGTTTCGACGTCGATCGATGAATCATTTCTCACTGGAATTGAGAAATCTTGTAATTTATTTAAAAGAAATAAGAATAAAATATAAATGAAAACGTTCATCAATTTATATAATTTATGGCAGTAGTAATAATACTGTGAAAATTTTGAATTAATAAAATAGACATAAAGAAATGATCAAAAAAAGTCAATTAATTAATATGTATATCATTAATTTTTTTATATTATTAAATTTAAATTTATATACATATATATAAATTTAAATTTAAAAAATTAATGATATACAATATAAATGATTACATTTTTATTCAATCATTTCTTTACGTATATTAATTCTAAATTTTTCAGAGTGTTACTATGTTATTGTCATAGTAATTATATAAATGGATGAATCTTTTTATTTATATTTTGTTCTTATTTCTATATGTATTGTAATATATATATATATACAATAGGTATTTACAATACAATATATTACAATAGGCATTTACATTACATACAATAGTTATATCTTCAGGAAGGAAAGACATTTCGAGTTTTACATATAATAATAAAAAAGGGAGAAGATAAAATATATGAATCGTACAATAATGGTAAGTTTTATAAATAGTAAATACATATATTGATAATACATATAACATTATTACTATTATCATTATTATTTATTATAAATGTTTGTCAAAAGAATATGTTAATGTTTACCAACTAGAATTTATAAAAGAAATCGGTACTTTGTATGCCGAAGTGTGTATATATTATGTATATACATGTATGTACATACATGTATGTATACATATATTATTATCTTTGGAAATATCGCTTAGAATATTTAAATGTTTTAACAATGTCAAAATCTCTCTATACGCTTTCTAAACTAAAATATTACACATACACAGCCATTTATCTAATTCTAATAAATGAAAATAAAAAAAACCATAAGAGAGCCCCAATAGCTAACGTAATAATATAACGTAACAATATAAAGCTTTTTTAAGTAAGTAAAATAAACACATTTTCTTTAAAGAGTATTGTATAAAAAGTAGTCTTATTAAAGATTCTGCCATAAAATAACAATCACATTTTCTTTAAAGTATAAAAAAAATCTTATCAAATAATCCCATACTGTTCTGTGCAAAATGTTTACTCAAGTTGATATATTCCCATAATGAACCCATAAGAATTGATGAACCCATAAGTAATTAAACATTTGATATATTATTTATAAAAAATGCTACTCTTGTTTCGTCGTAATTTTACAATTTCCTCTTCCTATTTCCCAAACTGCCGTCACACTGCTTGCGCCATTTTGCATCTTTTAACCACCTAGCCAAAGCTGTATTTGCTTCAATGAGATCACTATTCGAAAAAGCTATTTGAAGAGTTCCTAGAACAAGACATGTACATATATAAATATCAAACATTTTGCATCTTTTTGCATAAAAAATAAAAATCCAACGTATTAATGTAAATAATTACCTTGAAACAAATCATAAAGTTTAAGAGATTTGAAAGCAATTTTCCCATTACCTCCATCACAATTTATTTCACTTGCCAGTGTATTAGAGAGTAATTTTGTTAGCATATTTGTTGCGCTTTTCCTTTCGGGATTCTTCACGCTTAATTTCATATAACTGGACATGTAATGACACTGTAAACGAGAAATAATAAAACAGTAGTAAGCACATATAGAAGAAAATTTTCTTTAAAAAATTGAAGAGCAATTATTTACAGCAGCAGCTAAATTATGATCCGCTTCCAAGAATTTGTTAAATTCTTCTAAATCTTGTTTTGTGTTAAGCGGTAATGCTGGCATTTTTTCAGGACGCGAAATTCTTTTTTCTGAAGGTATTATAGCTCTCATGAGCTTGGTCATGTTCATGTTGAGAATATCTAGCTTTCCAGAAACTTCTTCCATTACAACAAGTGTTCTGTCAAGTTTCGTTTTGAATAAGCTTAATGTCTCCTCTGCAATAAACATAATAGAAAAATTAGAATCACTAAAAACAAATATTGGTTTTTACACTCATATCACAACAAAATTACCTTTGTTCTTATCAGGCAACTGCTCTTTAAATGTTTTACGTCCGTACGTATGGTGAGAAGTGCTTAAATTAGATAATTGTGATGAATTTTCGCAGTTTGAGTCACTGTTGATGTTCTTAGAATTACGATTAAAATTATCGGTTGGCATAGAATCTTGCGTTAAAGTTAGATCATCAATAAACAAATTGTCTTCAGGTATTGTATCTTGCATCGGTGATTGCACATTTGAAGAAAGATTTTCTTTTTCTTGAACAGCACTTGTATTAGAATTAGTAGAACTATTTGTAAACAATGAATTGAAAGAAGTTGAAGAAGATATTGACACAGATGATGACACAGGTTTTAATGGAGATTTTACAGTCTTGCTTAATGAGGTTAATAATTTTGGCCTTTTCATTTTCGAGGTCGCAATTTCTTTTGCTGTTTGAATTTCCTTTCTTGTCATGTTCATGTTAGAATGTTTAGAGAATGACCTTTTTGTTTTAACCCTTTTATTTACGTTTGTTTCTTCAAACTTTTCTTTTTGAAGCTTTTCAACCTCACTTAACTTAATAGTAGAGGAAGCAGAAACATTCCTCTTCATCAGTTTTGAAGAAGTATTGGAATTTGAATCACTATCACAGTGTTGAATGTTGGAGAAAGCTTCCTTGAGATACACAGGAGGAGGAGGAGCAGGAATAATTTTCGTCGTTAATTTTAATGAGATATTAGAATTAGAATCACTGTCTGATGATGTAATTTGTCGACTCTTTTTCCTCCTTTTCCCTCGGCCCTGCTCTATCTCAGTTTCATAATTAGAATCAGCGAGGAATCCAGAAATAGCTGTACGGGCTTTTGGATAAGTATCTAGAAAAATTATTGAAGTATTTTAATGTGGGTGTGTGTATATACACATATATACAGGGTGTCCTGAAATTCGCGAATCAAAATACCATAGCAAGAAAGTCGTCGAAAAAATAAATTAAAAAGTTATTTGCCATTTTTCGTCCCGAGCAGTAGTTTTTTTAGATAAAAAGGTTCAAAACAGGCCAATCATACCTTACGGTTGAATGGAAACCTGTCCGTGAGTCGCGCGTCGATAGTGTTAGTGCATTAACACTATCAACGCGCAACTCATGGACAGGTTTCCGTTCAACCGTAATGTATGATTGGCCTGTTTTGAACCTTTTTATCTAAGAAAACTATTGCTCGGAACGAAAAATTAATGGCAAATAACTTTTTAATCTATTTTTTCGACGACTTTCTTGCTATGGTATTTTGATTCGCGAATTTCAGGACACCCTGTATATAAGAGTATGTGTGTTCACAAAAATAAAATAAAATTTTACTGTAAAATCTTTTCACTTCCACATCGTGTTTTGGCTAATCAGTTTTAAAAGATTCTTCGGTTTTTACTAATTGTGTTACAGAGTTTGAATTAGGGGGCCAATATGTTTTTCCGCACATTTCATCATCAAGATCTGTGCAAATCCACTTTTTTAAACCAACATCGAAATATGTATCTGGATCCTTATTTGTTGGCAGAAATTTTAATATAACAAACTATAAAACAGAAAATAAGAAGTATAAATATATTACGTTCTATAAATGTTTAGATTATTTATGTTTCTAAAATGTTTACATTATTAATTCATTTAATGTGCTGCATGGGCTCTTTTCATTATGGGAATAGTGTGAAGTAACGGCACACACAACCAAGTTTCTTGATTTGGAATCAAGTAGCACTTGCATTCTATATCATTGAGAGGATATATTAGTCTCCTCTCCTCAAGTTGAGAAACACAGATAATACCTAGTTCAGAGGAAGGAAGTGGATATGTATAAAAGTCTTCCTGTTTTTGAAACTTACAACCAACAAAAAATAGAGTTCGATGTCTGTAAACAAGATTTTTTAGCAAAACAACATTACCGTTTGATGTTTTAAAACAAGAGTCCTTTGTTCCTATTCTGAAGCATATATTACCAATGACAACTTTACGATATTGTGAACCACGAATAATTTCATTTGCAATAAAGTGTTTTAAAGAGAGCACACACTGATTAGGCTTAGAATCCAGAATAATTTTAATCTTTTCCTTTCCTAGATCACGTCTAGCTATCTGCTGCAACGGTTTATAGCATGACATCAGGGAATCTTTAATTGACTTTAAACGGTTTTCATAACGAAAGGCACTGAAATTATCCATAGTACCATGCTCTTGACATTCCTTACTTAAGTGACTGAGTGAGTGCACATTATACACTACAAAACTCTTTCCATAAATAACTGCTGAATGAGAGATAAAAGTTCTGATGAATTGCTCAGCAAAGTGAAGATGAGTGCGAATAAGAGTGGAACTAGACAAAATGTATGCAGCACTGTGTAGAAGAAGAAAATGTTTATAGATATTATGATGAATTAAATTTTTGAAAGCAACGATGCCGTCATATAAAAGTATGCGACGAAATTCAGTGGCCTTGAATAGTTTAAAATCGTTTAGAGATCTTGGCTTTCGATTAAAATCTTGGGGACAGAATTCCTTGAGAAACACAAAAACTTCAGATATAAGATTTATAATATCTCCATGCAGTTTCCATGCTCCAACCACAAACAACCAAAAATGAAGCAATCTTTTAAATACACCAATATATAGAAGGTGCATTGCATCAAGTCGAAATTGCGATACAAGCCCAGTTCCTAATCTTTCAAGTGGTGATGTTCCTTCGTGATGTTGAGGTTGCTGGCGATTTTTGAAAGATTCATCTGTACGGAGGGGTTGATTAAGGTCTATGAAAGTAATCCTGTGGTTATTGTATTCTCCAATGACGGTGCACTTCTCACAAGCTGCGTAACCTGAATGTCCCTTACAACATTTAATAAATGCTCTTGCAGGAGCGTCTAAAATATAATTTCTAATTATAACTTCATAATTGTTGCCTTCATATTTATAGCCATTATGAAATAAATCTTCTAATTCAGTTACATATTTTTCTAAATATTCTTCAATATTCTGAGGATCATTTTTTCCACAGTAAATGGCAATAATAAAAGGTTCATTTAGAGTCCCAATAAGATGCCCTAAAATTGGCCAAAATTTAAGTTTGGAACTTTTAAAAAGCGGCAAACCATCAATATTAATATCTATTATAATCTTTCTATGAATTTGCAAATAATCTTGTAATAACATCTGATCCAAATTAGCTCTAACACCTTTGTACCATAATTCCTCTCCATTTTGACAGATATTTATTTCTGGATTAATATTACTTTTCAAAAGTGTTTTGTAACTTTTAGGCATATTAGGAAAACCAACACTGAGACGTTTTAACAAATTATCGACTTTTAACATAGAAAGGACACCTGATTCAGAAGTCCATGCTCGAAGTG